AATATTAATTTCACATGTTTTTTCCATAGCATATGCCTCTAATAGTCCATGATCGACACAATCATTTCCAAGTTATCTGGAAGCATGGTGCATGGTGCTGGATATACATGTTTTTTTAGTAAGAGGCTTTTCGAGGTGTATTTGTACCTATAATCTTGGCCGCAGGTTTACTCATGACACAGTGTAGGCCTTGTTTGTACTTCCCCCCCTCCACTGGCCGTCTTCCCACTACCACCCTCACCGACATTTACAACGGTACAACACTTCCACAATTTTACTTGAAATGGTGCACTGAAATGTCTTCTCGCTGCAACCTTGGGGAGGAATCTTCCTGAATATTCACAATAAGTCCTGTTGGGTCTTACCTGGTCAGCCTCGTTGATCCGGAGTTATAATTGAAAATCCCGCGCTACCCGCACACGTCATGCCATGCCAGCGCTTGGGCCGCCAGATATATAGATATATATATATATATTTATATATAATATATATATAATTTATATATAGATTATAAATATATATAATATATATATACATGTGGACCCCGATTAACGTTCCCTCCAATGCGAACCAATTATGTAAGTGTATTTATGTAAAGTTGCGTTTGTAGTGTAATGTTTGGGGGGTCTGAAATGGGACTTAATCTACTTCACCAAATATTCCTTATGGGAAAAAATTCGGTCAGTATGCACCTGTACATATACTGGAATGAAAAAAGTTCGTTAACGGGGGTCCACTGTATATTATATTTCAACAAAGTCGGGTCGTTCCCACCGAGGGAGGGTAACCCAAAAAAGAAAGAATCCCCAAAGAAAATAACGTTTCATCATCATTCAAAAACACTTTCTCCACACTCTCACCACATATCATGCTTTTGCAGAGGTGCCAAATGACAAACAGTTTAGAAGCATATATGTATAAAGATACACAACAAGATCCCTCCAAACTGCCAATATCCCAAACATCCTTCAAAGTGCAGGCATTGTACTTCCCATTTACAGGACTAAAGTCTGACTATATGTCATAACCGGTTTCTCGGAAATCCCTTCACTAAAGATTACCTGCTCACCACTCCACAGTTCGTCAGGTCCCAAGTATCATTCGTCTCCATTCATCCTATCTAATCAGCTCATGCACGCGTGTTTGGAAGTCTCATGCCCTGCCAAATACCTCCTTTCCCCTCTTTCAAACCCTTATATATAAATAGAATATATATATATATTATATAGATATATATATATATATATTATATTATATATATATATATGTAAGAGATTATATATATTATATATATTAAGGAAACTATATATATCTATAATAAAATGAGAAAGAGGACCCTTCTAAAACATTTTATAAAAGCGGTAATTTAAACGACTTCTTGTTAGTGTTTGACATAAGAAACTTTTTGAATTCTTCGCCTCACATTCTCTGGGTCCGCTCTCAACACAGTAGTGGTGATCTATCTGAAGATACAGTTGCCTGCCAAACTCTCGGCTATATTGGATCATCTGACCACTAAGTTGTCTTTAACCCTTTCAGGGTCGAGAGGTCCTCTCCTAAACTTGTTCTCAGGGTCGAAAATTTTTTGGGGAAAAAAAATTAAATTATTATGAAATAGATAGAGATCTTTTTCTCGTCATAATGACACCAAAAGTATGAAATTTGACAGAAAACTTATGGAATTATGCTCTCACAAAGTTAGCGGTCTCGACGATGTTAAAGCTTCGGCGATTTTGCCCACTTTGAGCCCTATTTTCGGCCAATTCATGTACTAGTTGCAAAAAACATAAACTATTTGCTAGAACTCCATTTTTTTCTATTGAATGAGTACAAGAACCACCCATTTTACCAATTTCAAACTATCCAAGAAAGTGGTAGAAATTAGCAATTTTGCCAATTTCACACAATTCAAAGTTGCCAATTTCCAAATAGGGTCCAGAATAAACCGGAGACATCCCTGGCACTAAAGAATTTCCCTCTGTTCATTAGTCATGTCTCAGGCCCCTTTACATTTTCTTTTTACTTTCCACTTTGAATTTTTATTTCTCACAAAAAAAATAGAATATTTACTGTTATGCCAGACTTTATGCATTAGTGTTAGAAATGGTTAAATATATCAGTGACTTGTGAAAGAATATTTAGACTCACCAGTTAGTTGACGCGTTGTTGGTACGCTTAGCAGGATTTGTTTACTTTTGAACTTCGGGCAAAAAAATCGAACATTTTTGCTACTTTGAGTTCAATTTCAGGATACTTTTCATTGTGAAACCAATCAAAATCATCTCAATTTGTAATTTTGTTTCCATTATAAATTGCCAGACCAGGAAAATAGACTACAACCTAAATACGATACAAAAATACAATCAAAGCTGCCGTTTTAAAACAAAAAAAGAAGGTCCAAACTTTTTTCTCATACGCTCTGTCGTGCTGCAGGATTTTTTTATGCTGTGCCACTGGACCCACATAGACCCATTCTTCATATGTAGATTACTAGCTTCTCTCGCTAGATCTAAAGGCGCTAGAATTTACGCGTTCTAGTACATCAATAACCCTGGTGTGTAAGCCGTACTAGTACGTCGGAAACCCTGAAAGGGTTAAGACAATGAAGATACCAAGAGAATAAGGTGAAGAATATACACACACACAACCTGACTATGGAAAAAAAGAATTTGACTAGACTGTTGCTCTGAGCTCACTGCCTCTGATTGGAATGCTTTTGTGCCAAGTTGTTGATAAGCAAGTGAATAACTTCACTGCACACATCCTTAATCTCTAACAAAAATGCATCCCTAACCAACAGTATGTGAAGAAGCCTTCAGATCAGCCTCTTTCAGCTTTTTTTGTTGAGAAGCTGCAGCTGCTAAGTACAAGGCTTGGAGAAGGCATAAAAGGCAGGAACATGTACATGCAAGACTGTTGGCAAGTGGAAGAAGTATGTAACCAGGCAATCTTAATTATTTAAGTCTGTTCTGCAACTGCAGCCAAAATAGTTGGGGGAATTTAGTTGGGGCAGTCGTGTAGACATAGAAACATGCGACTGAGATGAAGCACAGTAGATGACAAAATAAGATCCTCAGGGCCTAGGGCTGTAAAAGGGTTAGGCAGTGGTGAATGTGGAAGTAGGGACTGCAAAGGTGATTGTGGTAGTAGATACTACTGAGGTTTGAGCCCGTCTAGCAGCTCTGGAATAAGAAAGCCATGGGAGTCTCTCTTGAAGGCAGAGATGGGAAACTGCAATGGCATAAGAGAAACTATCTCTCTTTAAGACAATAGATCTCTCTTTCCCTTTTGAAAAACTGACAACAGCAAGAATAAGCAGAATGCACCTCCTTACAGTTAGGGCAAGTCAGAGGTTGGCTGCAGAATGGATTTCTATGATCAGCTGCACCACAGACAGGGATATCTGCCACTGATCTGCAATATTTTGCTGGTTAGTCAAAGCACCAGCAATTTCTACATGGTTATGGCATAGCGATCAATTCTCGGACATGTAAGCACTGTCTCACTGTATAAACAGGTGATAGTCCACAGAAGTTGAAAGTTAACTTAGCTATATTACAAGGTAAGTCTCTGCCCATGGGCAGGTAGTACATAAGTGTCTATTTTAAGAATTGAAAGATCTTGAAGCTTGAGTTGCTCCATAATATCTGTATCATGTGTTAGGAAGTGTCACTGAACAATAGTAAGCAGATGAAAAACAGATCCACAGCAAGAACTGAGGGAGATGTGTTTACAAATTGTGACACAAATACTGTCAATGGAAAGATTATGGGCTTGGCCAGCATTTTACACCATGATAATGCATGCACCACTCTTGAGAATGTGAAACAAAATGTTTCGTCCAACGTAATGCAGAAGTGCCTTGCTGATACTATGGTGTGAAAGAAAATATCTGGGAGATGTTGGTAGAAGAGTAAATAATTTGGTCTGTGATGTACCTTGAAACAAAGTGTAGGGGAAGAAAATGTCTAGCAGGTCGTGTCTGAGAAGCAGGGCAAGAGGTAACTGGGGTAATGTTATCTTTAACAGGTTGAGGTTGTTTGGATGGGGGACCTGAGGTGATCCATCTTGAGAAGTGTGGACAATCTAAAAATTGTGTACTGTAGAGGGTGAAGCTGGAATCATGGGTAAGGTTGTGTCGAGGTCAGAAGTATCGAAAGGATCGGTCGGCACCTTGGTACCAGAGGTGGGCAATGAGGAGTTACCCAAAAAAGGTACCAGGTTCTTACAGAGGTCCAAAGTGTCTGATGGCTCAGCAAGGTCTTGGGCGGATGCTGCTAGGGAAGGAAGGGGCCCAAGACGAGTTATTTCATAGATATGTCTCTATGATAAGATTGATTTTTTAAAGAGGGAGAGTGTGTGGAGTAACAGCTCCCAGGAGAAATGAAAGGTACTGTAAATCCCCATCCATGCCCAAGAGAACCCTCAGTGCAGCTGGTAGTGCAGATGTGGCATGGAACCCGTGTCATACCCTACCCTTCTTACCAGTAAACCAGCAGTCCAGGATAACAACCTCACATCCACCAAACCACCTCAGTGGACAAAAGAAAGGGTGGCCAGAAGCCCTCCACAAGGCATACCTCCTTCAACCACCACCTGCCAGAACTGAAAGGCAGCCCCCAGATACACCAGTCATCTTTAGGACACCCAAAGCTGCCCTCAGGGACTCCACAGAAAGTGGATCAGGACATCCCTAGATGATCCAGATTCCAGGGCAAACTCTACCACCACCGAGGACCTCAACAGAATGGGACTGACTATGATACTCTTTCCTTGACCCAGGAGCCAGAATTTCAGAGGAGAGATCCCCAAAGCCTGAACAAAGGAAAGGATGGAAAGGGTTTGAATGGGGAAAGGAGGTGGGATGGGAAAGGGGGAAGTGGGGGGCATTAAGGTTTGGTCTGATAAAGAATAAAAGGTCCAATTCCTTAGATCAAAAGCCTCTTCACCACAACAAGGAACCCCCTTTAACAAAAAATCTATAAAAAAAATTCTATAAATTCATAAATTTTTATAAATATTTTATTGATCATTACAAAAAACTCATTAGCAGAGAAAGTCACTGATAATTACATTATTACTTTACCAGTGATTACAATGATTACTTTATTATGTATCCAGTCAACTGTATTACCTGCCAGTGATGATAATAATAATCTTATTAATAATAATAATAATCAATCTCTTCCTTAATTAGGCTTTACACTTTATTGAAACAATTAAAAAAATGGAGAAATGATAATAATTATGATGATTATGATAATATTTTAATGGTTGGAAATTATGGCATTTTTAATGTCAAGTTTCCTGTGGCTAACCTACTGCTTTACTTCTTTCATTTATTCTTTCCTTTGTTTATTTATCCCCTCATTTATTCCCTCTTTATTAACATCTTTGCTTTCTTCATTTATTCTCTAATTCTTTCATTTCTTCTTCTCTTCATTCACTTCTACTGCTTCAATCATCAAATCTTGACATAACAGCAGAACTATGGAAGGTCATCCACCAGATCAGTTGATTCAGTAACAACAATCATCACAAGAACAATTATCAAAGCAATCACAATCATTACTATCCTCAATGATCACCACAACAACCACAATCATCACTATCAACAATCACCACAACAATCATCACTATCCTCAACAATCACCAGCCACCACCATCCTCTCAATTAGCTAAATTGTTGGTTTGAACAATAACACAATGTTAAGTTGAAGGCACATCAAACTAACTCAACACAAGACAATCACTTGTAAATTCAACATAAAACAATCACTTGTAAATTCAACACAAGACAATCACTTGTAAATTTAAGCTTACAATTAGTGACAAATTCTTGCAAAATCTTTAATTCTTACTCAAAAAAATGCTTAAAATTCTACTTAAAATAATGTATACGTATATATTGTAAGGTTGACATGGTGAATTACATGTTTATAAGGTAAGATAATATAACTAGTAAAGGTAATCTTGAATTACAAGCAGAGGTCATAATTAATGACACTAGAGTTACAGCAGCAGTTAGTTGAGATATGTCGAGTCGAGGTGGTGGTGGCCACCAGTGTTGCTCTGTTGTTATATATTGTCCACACGACCAGACAGTGGTGGTGGTGGCCACCAGTGTTGCTCTGTTGTTATATATTGTCCACACGACCAGACAGTGGTGGTGGTGGCCACCAGTGTTGCTCTGTTGTTATATATTGTCCACACGACCAGACAGTGGTGGTTGTGGCCACCAGTGTTGCTCTGTTGTTATACGTATATTGTCCACACGACCAGACAGTGGTGGTGGTGGTGGCCACCAATGTTGCTCTGTTGTTATATATTGTCCACACGACCAGACAGTGGTGGTGGTGGCCACCAGTGTTGCTCTGTTGTTATATATTGTCCACACAACTAGACAGTGGTGGTGTTGACCACCAGTGTTGGTCTGTTGCCATATATTGTCCACACGTCCAGACAGTGAGTGGAGGAGGTATTGCAGTATACAAGGTGGTAGAGAGGGTCAAGTAGTGGAGTGGGCCAGGTAGTGGAGTGGGACAGGCAGTGGAGTGGGCCAGTTAGTAGAGTGGACCAAGTAGTGAAGTGGACCAGGTAGCAGAGTGGGCCAGGTAGTGGAGTGGGCCAGGTAGTGGAGTGGGCCAGGTAGTGGAGTGGGCCAGGTAGTGGAGTGGGCCAGGTAGTGGAGTAAGTCAGGTAGTGGGGTGCACTAGGTAGTAGAGTGGACCAGGTTTAGTGGGCAGGTAGTGGAGTGGACCAAGTAGTAGAATGGACCAGGTAGCGGAGTGGACCAGATGGTGGAGTAGACCAGGTGGTGGAGTGGACCAGGTGGTGGTCCACTACTTCATAACACTTCCTTCCTGCAGAAGACATAATACAATCAATTAGTAAAACAAATACCAAGGCTTAATGTTTGACAGTCAAGTAATGTTGCACTTGATGAGCCACATGTGCAACACCTGGCGGGCTTTGTTTCCAACATGTTTCATCAGTCACATTACTGAATCAATACAGAGGTTACTAACAAGATGAGGTAATCAGTCCCTCCAATTAATAAGCAAAGTAGTAAGTTGATATTAGTGGCACATGTGTCTAATTTATCAAGAGACAACAGAAGTCACAACAGTAACTGAAACAAACACATGTCTACACACAGAAGACTCAAACATATGACGACGTTCTGGTCTAACTTGGGCCATTAATTAGTTGTGATCAAAACATAGTTGTGAATTTCAGTCTCTCGTGTGTGGATTATTTGCATATTGTCTACCTGGAAGTCGTCCCGGGGGTCACTGCCCCTGTGGTCCAATCCTTGACTAGTTTGTGAGCATTGCATATTTATTTATTAATTTGAACACAATACACAGAAGTACAAGGAAATACAGTGGTTAAGTGTAACATGCCAAAGCCCCTTGTATGCAGAGCATTATGGGCAGGCTTAAAATTAACTTAAGATTAACTAAGCAATGATATATTCAGTGGTAAACATTGCTGTAAACAGTTAACAATTAAGCACAAATAAAGTATTTCAAGCAGGTCATATGGTCATTTACTGTGTTGCTGAGCATTTAGTAGAATGAAGTATTCTGTTAGGTAATGTAATTAAAAATAACAAAGTTTGATTGGGTCACAGGTTAAACATTTATGAGATACAACTATTCAGTATTTATTTAATTGTGGGTGAGTAAGTGATTTTTAAGAAGAGACTTAAATTTATAAACAGTGTTTATTTTATATTCACAGGTAATGAATTCCAGATTTTAGGGCCTTTTATGTGCATTGAGTTTTTGCATAGTGTGAGATGGACACGGGGAATATCAAAGAGTCATCTGTGCCTTGTGTTATGGTCATGTGTTATGTTGAGGTTGGTAAGGAGATGTTTGAGGGGAGGGTTTATGTCACAGTTAAGTGTTCTATGTATGAAGTAGGTACAATAATAAGTATGGATGCTTTGTATGGTGAGTAGGTTTAGAGTTTTGAATATTGGTGGAGTGTGCTGCCTGTAGTGGGAATTTGTTATCATTCTGACTGCAGCCTTTTGGTGGGTAATTAATGGTCTGAGATGGTTTATTGTTGTTGAGCAGGCGAGATAGGGGTAAATAAGTGAGTGATATAGGGCCAGGAGAGCTGACTGTGGAACATAGCACCGTATCTTCGACAGTATGCCTACGGTCTTGGAAATTTTCTTGGAAATCTGTTGTATATGTGTTTGAAATTTGAGTCTATTATCAAGGTGGATTCCTAAGAATTATCCCTCTGTGTGCTTTGTGATAGTTGATCCATTTATCATTATGTTAAGAGGGACATCTGTAGCTCTGTTACCAAACTGAATGAAGTAGATTTTGTCAATGTTGAGAGTAAGTTTGTTAGTCCTCATCCAGGTAGATATTTTCTGTAATTCGGTATTTACAGTATTGGCTAGCATGACTGGGCTCGGGTGAGAGAAGATGTATGTAGTGTCATCTGCAAATAGTGTGGGTTTGAGTAGTTGCGATGCATTTGGTAGGTCATTTATGTAAACGAGAAGGAAAAGAGGGCCAAAGACACTTCCCTGTGGGACACCAACTGTAATTGGCTGTGCGGAAGAGTTTTCTTCATTTGTGTACACATATTGGCTTCTGTTGCTGAGCTATGACTTTAGGTAGTTGAGGGAGTGCCCTCTTATACCATGGTGCGACAATTTTATGTGGAGCAAGTCATGATCAACTGTATCAAAAATTTTAAGTAAATCAAAAGATTCCCCGTTTTGGGGGGGGGCTTCTTTTTTCTCTAGGGCAGTGTATATTTGTTCTAGCATGTGTATAAACATCATTCGTATTTTTATTGGGCCTAAAACCCAAACTGACAAGGGTTGAGTATGTTGTGGGAGATGAGATAGGAATAGATTCGCTTATAAAATTAAATTTTTCGAAGATTTTAGAGAGAGGGTGTAAGTTAGATATTAGCCTATATTTTGTTCAAGTCTGTTTGGTCTCCTCCTTTATGGATTGAGGTGACCCTCACTATTTTGAGAACTGTAGGAAGGTAGAGGATTCGATGGATTTGTTAAAGAGTGTTGCAATAAATTGGTGACAGCACTTGCAACGCTTTTTTGTATATAAAGGGGGGTAAGGTATTTAAATTTTCTGTCTTGTTTTTTAGTGTGTTATAATAAGGAGGCTTCTGTTGGGTTAGTCGGACCTAGGAACAGTGTGTTCGGGTAGTTGCCAGTAAGGTAGTCATTGGGTGGGGTATTTTGACTTGGGATTTTATTGGCAAGGTTTTTTCCTAGGGTGGAAAAAGAAATCATTGATTTCTGTGCATTTTCAGTTGGTGGGAGTTGGGATTCATCTGGTTTTGTTAGTTCAATTGCACTGTTCCATGCTATCTTTTTTGTTCCTAAATTTCTGATAGAGTTTTTCAGGTCTTTTTTATATCACCTTCTAAGTTGGATAATCTGTTCTCATAATACAAGATTTTCCCCCTTCTTATCAGGCTGTTAGAATTGACCAGTAACGTTTTGTTTGGTCTCTGGTTATGTACCCTTTTTGTACTGTTTTTCGTATAGGTTTTTGTATTTATGGATTTGAGATGCTGGGTGTTAGACAGGGACTGTTTCAGTCTCTTAGCTGTCTCTGTTTTAGTTTTTTTAGGCAGTGCTTGTTATAGAGGTATTGGGTCTTTTTTTAAAAATTATTAATACTTCATCATTCTGTATAGATTTCTAGCTCAGTGTGCCAGTCAATGTTTGTCACTGCTGCTGTGAAAGTTATTAAAAGACTACCCATTGTGAAGTTTGAAAGTGACTTTTAGTAGTGTCTTGGGTAATTTGCCTAGATTAGTTATGAGGAAGGTAGCGTTGTGGTCTGTGGTATTATCTATGATTATGCCTGATTTTTAAAGGGGATATGGTGTTGGTCCAGATGTGGTCTATAGGGAAACACCTAGTCTCTGTAATTCTTGTAGGTTTTGTTACTGTTGGTATCAACAAGCAGTTACTCATAGTGGTTTGGAATTCAGTAACGGGGTGGGTCCAGGGCTTGCAGGGGATTTATATTGAAGTCACCTGAGAGTAGTAAGTGACCTTTATTCATGCGTGCATCAGTTATCATACTTCCAGGTTTTCACTAAAACCCGCTAATGTTTGACTGTGACACTCTGTAGAGAGGACCACAGTGAGAAGGTTTTTGTAGGTACAGTGGACCCCCGGTTAACGAACTTTTTTCATTCCATAGTATGTTCAGGTGCCAGTACTGACCGAATTTTTTCCCATAAGGGAAAATTGTGAAGTAGATTAGTCCATTTCAGACCCCCAAACATACACGTACAAACGCACTTACCTAAATACACTTACATAATTGGGCGCATTTGGAGGTGATCGTTAAGCGGGGGGTCCACTGTATTGATTTGGAATTTAGCTATATATTTCTCCATGTCTCCCTTGTGCAAATATTATGATACATTCGTTGGGGTTTCAGTAACAGCTGTGCCCCCCCCTTGTTGATCTGGGTCATTGTGTATGGCTGTGTAACCAGGAAGGCATGACATCTGTAGTATCATTTTGCCAGGTTTTTTGGGGGAGGAAAGGT